TAATAAAAACCAAAAAAAGTAAAAGAAGAAACAACCAAACAAAAAAGATACAAAATGCTAAACAAAGCAAAAACAAAAACAAATGAACCTGCACATAACAAAAACCAAAAAGGAAAAAAATGGTAACAGAACATGGTACAGTAAGTAACATTAACATACTTGTTAAATCGCTATTGATCACCACAACAACATCTGGGTTATGTTTCTAATATTTTCAGCCAAAGAGTATCATTGGGGTGCATATTTAATATTTTTCAGGACTTTATTTACAGGTGGTGCTATTTAATAACCAGCCAAAAGCCACATCACTTCAAATTTGGACTTTTCAATAGCCAACCACATAGACTTTGGTTGAGAATCTTTGATCAGACTTTGACACCCCATAGCATTGGTGTGTCAATTAAGTTTCATGATCAAAAGAATTATTTTTCTGTTATAAATGGTAATGCTGGTAATAAAATTAATTACTTTAGACTGAAAGTAACTCAAACAGAGATCTTTATTGTTCAGGTAAATGTATCTTTTTTGATGTAACATTTCTCACTGTCTTGAGTGTAATGCATTTATCAATACAATGGTATATATTTTAAAAACAGTAATTCTAAGAACTGTGTAATTTAGAAAATTTTTGTATCTGTGCCATTCTTTCAAGGTTTGTAGATTTTTATTCCCCTTGCAATGTCAAGTGGTAAATGTTGAAGCTAATGAAAAATAAATTCTGGTTCTGGAATTAGTGCCTGCTTGAACTGTATCACTAATGATCCCAGTATGCTGGAAGCTCTTACTTTCTTGTCCTTTTGACAACAGATGTAAAAGTTGGGACAATGGAAAATCAGAACAGTTGTAATACAGACAGGACTGTACACTACTGTCAACAATACACAAGTAGTAAACCATACAAAGACTTTTTGGAACATTTCATCATATCTGCGAATATTTCAATATACCAAGTAAGTAGAAATCACATCCAAAGTCTAATTGGAAGACATTCAAGTTACACAGCTTTTGTGTCCATGGTTTTTTAGAAGACACCTAGGAGAGAAGTTAAAGAAGATTATGAGCCGGGGAGTAAGATTTTGGTAATGTTAACAGAGTTAGGAACTTTGATTTTATTAGATGAAAGCCTCAGTATCAAAGTAGTCTTCAGAAGTAAACATCAGTGGATTATGACTGAATATACATAGTCATCACTGGCTTTCAACTGTGGTTTTAAACATGAGGTACAATCTTTCTGACTAACATAAACACCATTGATCCACAACCTTTTCCAATGTTGTTTTCCAATGTTAACAATCAAGCATTGGTTGACAATGGTGCAAAAATAATCATTTACTTAATAAATTTCTCACCTTGTCATTCTGAAAAAATTAATTTTCCATCTTTTTCAATATTTCCACAACAAATTCAAGCTAAGTAACTTGTTGGACCTAGAAAAACAATTGAAAATAATTTCACATTTTTTTTTTAAACTTTGTAAAGCCAACTTTACAATAGAGCTCTACGCTATGAGAGACAACTGCTGAAGTCTCCTAAATTTTTATTTCTCGTTATTCACCCCCATACTATCACTTCAGTATATAGAAAGC